TTTCAACCCAAAACCTGGAAGGTGCGCGGACGGGGCTGGCATTTTGATTTCTGCAACCCAAAACCTGGAAGGTGCGGGGATGGCACTGGCATTTTGTTTTTCTGCAACCCAAATTCTGGAATGAGTTGTTCCGCCCAGAAGTTTCAACCCAAAACCTGGAAGGTGCGCGGACGGGGCTGGCATTTTGTTTTTCTGCAACCCAAAACCTGCGGCCCTCGCTGTTGAGTCCTTGCCAGTTCCGAGTCGTCGACCATGGGCCCAGGAGGTGTTCGAATAGGTTACGGTTTACGATCGTGACTGGGTGCGAGGCATGGGGAGGACCAAGCATCTCGGGGCTTTCACAAAGGGCTTCTGGACCGTTGCATATGGATTCTTTGGGCCCTCCCGAAATTTCCACAGCCGGAAACCCTGACAATTGAACCCGGATGACCTGACGGCGTGACCTTCCAGTCCTCAGGTGCTTCACTTACCGTAGCTTCGGGTTTGGGATTTCCGGCGTGGGGTGTTAGGGCTGTCGCGTAGTTCCTTGAGTGAGATGCAGCACAGTACAAATGATGGTAGTCATACTCGCAATTCGTTATGACGGTTATGCTAAGGCGCTAAGGCGTGAAGAGGAGTAGCTCATGATACCAATCGCAGTTTTTTCCAACTTGACCGTGCTGGCGGGGGCTTTGCGGCGGCGGGGGGCGGGGGGGTGGTATTTGGGGTTCAGGGAGGGGTATTCCTGCTGGCAACACAACCCAGATCTTAGTCCCAGAGCCGTAGCCATCCAAACGTCGAAAGTTTGGAATCGAAAGCAGTGAGGAATCCCGGTACACACCACCAGAACTCCTTGGATCCTTGTGAGCTGATCTTTAGGGTCTTAGTTTAGGGTTTAGGGTTTAGGAAGTTTAGGGTTGGCCGAAAGACGAGCAATTCTTCTCAAATTCCAATCAGGCAGAGGGAAGGGTCTGCACAGCCCGGAAGCCAGACAAAGCCCCTGCACGACAGGAACAAGCCCGACACCAACAAATCCTGCGCCCCAAACCCAAACCGAGCCTTGACTCTGGAACCCAAATCCGGAAATGGACACACCCGAGACTGGGCTCAGGTTCGGGACGGGAGCACCGAGGCGTTTGGGGCTTGGATTTGGGGTTAATCATACTACCTCGGCTACTAAAGTCACCACCAGCGGCACTACGACTATTGAGCGCTTTGAGTGATTGGTAATTTCCGTGATCTTCCCCCCTGCTTTCCAGGTACTTATACAGCATTCGACCAAAACAGTCTGTTTTTGAGATTCTCAGGCCCCTGTATCGGATGCACAACTTCATGTCTCATCCCTCTAGCTTAACTTGATGTTTAAAGGTTTCCTGTTCTGCATCGAACCCCAAGCCGCAAACCCTCCCAACATGTGCAGAGAATGCAAGATAAGAGCTCAGTGCCCAGCCTCTCACCCTTACGGGGCCACTTAGATGCAGCCCTGGAATCTCTATCCTTTTGGACTGTCCGTGACATGCTATTGTTCAGGGACAGCTTTTGGGTGATTCTGTAGTTTGCAAAGGCTTCCTTGCTCTATGAGCGTTCTACCGGGTTTAGAGTACTGGGCTCTGTGATTTAGCCAAGTGTCCAGGGTGCAAGCCCGATGCTGTGATCCCACTTCCTCAGCTCCCGAAGCCCTCGCACGCCGAGCTCGAGCTCTCACATCTCGCCACCATGCGATGGCTCGCAGAGAGGGCAGCAACAGCAGCAACACTCACAACAGCAAGAACAGCAAGAACAGCACATGAAGACTTACGTAGGCCGCGAGGATAGTCTGCAGTCCGCCGCATTTCCAGACCCTAAATCATGGATCACTCGCCTCCAAAACCACACGAATTCACACACAAGCCTCTTGCAACCCTGCAAACATTTGACGCCCTCAAACCCAGTGCAACCGCATGTAAAATCCCGAATCCCTTACTTTTAGGCCCGCAACCCAACCCAGAAGCTTCAACTCTACAAACCCTTGTAGAACCCGACAAGACAGCCCCAGTAAGAGGCTTTAGCCGAGACCTTCCGGATTTGGAAGTTTACCCGCGACCCTTAACCCTGAGCCCGAGAGTTGACACAAACTGAGATGACGGTGATGATGAAGAAGAAAACTTCACGACCGTGAAGGCGGCGATTGTAATTATGGTTGTGGTGATGATGGTGATGGTGGTGAGATGATGACCGTGATGGTAGTGATGATGGCGTGGATATAGTCATGGCTGTGATGACGACGACTTCGGCTAAGCCTGTCTGCAGTTTTCCGTAAAAGAACAGCTTTGCCAAGCTCTTCAGACATCCAATCCGCGGAGTGAGGAGCAGCAACTTTCCAAAAGTGGTTCTGCTCAGATTGTGCCTCATCTTGGGCTTCTTTGGAACGAGAATTTGTTCCCAAACCCCACCCCTCACCAAATACAAGTTCCGACCGTATCAAGGCCTGGATGGCCTCCCCCTTCGAGGAGGAGGCACCGTTCCGGCTTCCTTCTATATGGTCGTCCCTCTTGGGATTAGTAGGGTCGAGTTGGGGCTTGCGCTCAGGGGACATGTCCAGAGATTCGCAGACTCGCCTGGGCCGCCCCCCCCCAAAACACATTCTCAAGCCCGATCGTCATCGCGCGAATCCCCCAGTTTCAACGAAGCACAACTCGATCGGGCTGTGAGGTCAGTGGAGTCTCGTAGTCCGAGAAAGACAAGTTACAGAGCTAACCCCATCCCAGTTAGCTGCCACACCCAGCTTTGTGGTTAGGATCGTTTATATAGAAAGGTAGGTACCCTAAAAGGGGGGGTAGCGTGTGACCCTCTAGGGAGGGTTTTTTCGAAAGCGGGGATTCGCTTGATTTAGGGTTTACGGTTGAGAGTTTAGGGTTTAGGAGCCCCTTGATAGAGCCAGCTCCCTTGTTGGAGGCTGCTGGAGCCGCTTGAACACACAGAACATTGAAGAACAACTATGAGAGGCCCCAATTCAGCCCGCATAGGACCCTTACAATTACCGTAATTACCCTTTGTCGAACCCTCTGAGCTCTACAACTGACTCCAACCCCAAAGTCTAAACCCGAAGACCCTCAACCAAAGCCTCTTAAACGTACCAGCACCCTTATCCCTGTATACCTGTCCATGTTACGTTCCAAACCCCAGCAAGTGCTGGATACGAGCCTCCAAGAGTTCCGACTTGAGCTTAAAGCGCCCGAAAAGGCATTCGGAAATATTTCTGCAGCATCATCCTACTGCGACGTTGTTGCTTTGATGCGACTGTCTGCAAAAGCTCGCTGATGGTTTTGGCTGGCCAACACACATCCGAATTCTATGTTGCTTTGTCGCTTTGTTGCGTTGTGATGGGTGGTCCGTACCCAATAGAGGCTGAGCACCTCTAGGGTTTGAGCCAAAGAGCCAATGGAATCGATGCGCTCTGTTGTGATGCACCGTGACGCTTGTGCAGGATTCTTGATGGACTCACATCTTCCAGGCAAGATCTGGCAGAAGCACTGTGTAGGATCAGCAGTTCCGCACGGTGTCGACATGTCACGAGCCCCAGGCGTCATCACATGATAGGTCACCTCCCACCCGCCG